GAGTCGCCATATTGCCCAGGACAAGACACGATGCTCGGACATGACTATCACCACAATTCTCATGTTCATGTGCTTAGAGGTATGCGAGCGCGCCTGGAATGTGAAACTTGGAGTCCCGTACTGATACGTACCTCTAGCTCCAAAACCCCACCTTTGCGGATGGACGTTCACATGTGAATGCCATGAAGCGGATAGTTGACCTCAGAGGTGGACCCAAGCAGGTCACGAAGGAAGCCCCGTACCTGATCCAGCCGATGGTGCTCTACCTACTGTATGTTCATTTGCCCTTTAGATTGAAAACCTGCTTATATGATTAGTATCGTGTCTCTTTCCAACACGTGCAGTCCGTCATGGGACCAAGTCGACATCAGCAACACTGCGGAGGAAATGAATGAAGATATAACCGACATGTACAGTCTCATCTTCCCGTATACGCTCTGTCCGCGAGAGCTCTTCACTGAGATATTGCGAACGAATCAGCTACGCGCAAAAGCATCTGCAGCAATACAGCTGTGTGATTTCAACCCGGATTATGCTCTCGAAGCTTATGACGTCCTCGGCCGCATCGAAGCCTTCTCAGCCGAGGACTGGGCGCGAGCTGGTACCTTCTGCACTGAATGGCTGACTGTTGGTCTGGTGTACAAATCCGCCGTCGCGCTCTACGCCACCTTGTCCCTTTGCCCACTCATGGTCCTCCCGACGACACCTTCACTGCTCGAGAGCCAAGCAGCTTACGGCGACGTCCTGCTCAGCAACCTCTGCACTGCACTCAAGGCCCCGCGTATGGCTAAGTTTATGGTGTGGCCGCTGATCGTCGCGGGTGTAGAAGCTATGCATCGCGGGGAAGGGACGCGCAACTGGATCGAGGCGGGCTTGGAGGGTCTGAGCAGGACGCTGGGGACGAGTTGTCCGCTCAAAGTGTGTTCGGTGCTGAAGAGATACTGGAAGGGCGGGGTTGCGGGGTGGGACGAGTGCTTCGATCAATCGTATGTGTTTGCCATCTAGAGAAGGAGCTAGTCAAGGAGGGTTTGCAGTTGTTCGTGTCATCATACCCAGAGGTTCGTGATATATCGCTAGTATGCGTAATGTACAGGCTTGCTATACAGAGGGGAGATGGGGTCCCCGTTGGTAATACCCAAACGCCAATCTATGCTGTCGTGTGCCGTGGACCATGGCTACCGGTCCAGGCCCTTGTTCTCTGGGTCCTCGTCCCCCTTTGTCTCCTTGACGTCTTTGTACGGCCGCCCCGCGTAGAGCATGTATCCCTTCTCCTCCATGGTGCCCGCCTTCTCGTCCGCCTCGGAGCGGCCCTGGCCAAATGCGCCCGTCTCGAGTTGGCCTGGCACGGCAATGGGCCGGTTGCCGCGGAAGCGCTTGCGCATGTCAATCATGCCCTTTTTGCACTCGGCGTAGCCCTTTTGCAGCTGCTGGCACTGGGTGGGGAGGGTGTATTTGAGGGGCGGGCGCAGACATTCGCCGGGCGTGTGTCGGTCGACCATGATGCAGTCGCTATTTTGGAGGCAGAATGCCAGCGCAGCGCCTAGCCACTCCGGTTAGCCGAGGCATCGCAGAAAATATTGAACAAGCCATACGGATGTCTTTGCAGGACTGCGGCATCGTGGCAGGAGGTCGCGTGTGGCTACCAGCGCATTCAACAATGCATGTGTGGAGTGATGGGGTGGAGCTAACATTTCACAGCCGTCGGCGAAACGTCGCGCTAACCTCCGGGGCTAGGATGCGTTGTCACATGTCAGGGATGGCTGCTTCCGTCTGGAACGTCATTCAGACTCTATCCTGCAAGACCTCACCGTAACTCAAGAGGGACTGGAGCGCGAGCTGTGAACTTTCAGAGGCCCGCGCGTACAGAGGGGCGATGCGTTGTCGCGCTGCCATTTTGTCTCTGCTTTAATTGCTTCTGTGCCCTGCCCGTCTACACACGCCCGAGGGCATCTGGGCAGCATGGCGCTCCATATACCCTTCCTGTCGCGCCTCCACATCCGCGAGTACATCGCCCTGTTTCTCTCCATCTGCCTCATCGGCCTCGAGTCCTTCATTGCCGTCATCACGCTTGCCCTCCCTACGCCCATTATCAACTTCTGCTACCGCCTCACGCGCCGCCTGTTCAACCACCTCTCGTCGCCCTCGTCCAAGCGCTCGCGCCAGAAGAAGAAGGGCGTGTGGAGCTCCATCGCCAATGCGTCCGACTTTACCGAGCTATGCGACCTCTACGGCTACTACTGCGAGGAACACATTGTGCAGACGGGCGATGGCTATCTCCTGGGTCTGCACCGGCTGGGCTGGCGACAGGGCGAGGAAAATGTGCGCGTCAACAGCGGAGATAGGGCCAAGGGCGTCAAGAAGAAGGTCGTCTACCTCCACCACGGTCTCATGATGAACAGCGAGGTCTGGGTCTGCTTGACCGACAAAGAGCGATGCTTGCCATTCGAGCTCGTCGAGCGCGGATACGACGTCTGGCTCGGCAACAACCGAGGAAACAAGTACTCCAAGAAGAGCGTCCACACGCCCCCTACCTCGAGCAGCTTCTGGAACTTCAGCATGGACCAGTTCGCCTTCCACGACATCCCGGACTCTATCGCCTACATCCTCGAGACTACGCACCAGCCCTCTCTGTCGTATATTGGCTTTTCGCAAGGAACCGCGCAGGCTTTCGCGACCTTGTCCATCCACCCCACACTGAACGAGAAGGTTGATGTCTTCATTGCGCTAGCCCCGGCCATGTCTCCCAAGGGTGTTGCGTCTGGCATTGTCGACGCCTTTGTCAAAGCATCTCCGGATATTCTCTACTTGGCCTTCGGGCGCAAGACCATTCTCCCGTCGGCTACCATGTGGCAATCCATCCTATATCCTCCTATCTTCGTCCGATTCATCGATACATCCCTGCGCTTCCTTTTCAACTGGTCCGCCGTCAACATCCTACCCGAGCAGAAGCTCGCTGCATACCCACATCTCTACTCATACACGTCGACTAAAAGCGTGGTACACTGGTTCCAGATCATTCGGAATGGCACGTTCCAAATGTACGACGATGAAGCGCCGAATCCAATCACATCCAACCGATCCAAGTACTACAAGGTTGCCAAGTTTCCAACCAAGAACATCAAGACGCCGATCGTGCTTGTTTACGGCGGCTCGGACAGCTTAGTCGACATCAAGGTCATGCTCAAGGAGCTACCAGCTCATACTATCGCCAAGGAGATCCCTCACTATGAGCACCTAGACTTCCTGTGGGCAGAATCGGTTCACACACTCGTCTTCCCGCACGTCTTTGAAGCGTTGGACAAATTCGCAGGCTCAGAAGCAGCAGCTCTAGAGAGTCAGAAGCAACGACGCTTACGATCGCCGGGCCGGTACCAAGGTCTCCTACCAGAGTCCAGCAAACTACCCGGGTTAGACGGCGACGAAGACGACGACGATGCGGGAGATGAGAGTGCGACAGCTCCGGTAGCGCTACGGACAAGAAAGGTTTCCCAACACTCGCGAGCGCCGAGCTCCATCGATGGCACGACGATAGCAGAAAGGCCATTGTCGCTAGCAAGTCCTTTCCAAGCGTCTCAAACGCCACGACCTCCCACTCACCGAAGAACCCAAACCGAAGAGAAGCCCTCGCCTTCCCGCAACAGAATCATGTCACCACCACCCTCGCACAGGATATCAACCATATCCTCGCCACCCCCTTCCACAAACAGGATGTCAACCATATCCTTCAGCTCACCAGGTGCGTCAGTCGGCGACTCTCAAATGACAGAAAAAACCTCGACGTCTCGGCCCGAAGGATGGTGGTCCTCCGACGAAGTCGCTGGTACAGATCCGTCTCAAACTACCACACCCGCTAACCACACGCCCGCCAGGAGGTCCAGTTTCGACAGCCAGCAGAGCACGAAGAGTATGGCGGGCAAATTCGGAGCCAATGGTATCACTCTTGGGGCGGGCAAAGCCGTCAGCGGAGTCACCATCACACAAGGAGAAGGATTCGGCGAGGGGAGTGGGACTCACAAGGATAAAAACGATCGGGAAAGATTACTGGAGGCGGATCGGAAACAGCGGAGGAACGTCTTGAAGAAGAGACAGCCGTCTAGTGGGTGATTTGATCTGACGAAGTAACGATGGACTTGCATAAGACTGTTACGATTATGTTGGTTGGTTGTAAATTGCAATAACAAGAACCTTGTGGGCTACTTCATGCCAACGCCCTTCACATTTGCAATGTTTCCAATGGCGTGACCATCCTCATACGTTGGGCGCACCTCCGCTAGCATGATTGGTCACGGGACTGTATTCCGCAATACGAGACACATAGCCAAAACCTCATCTTGACTTCAATCTTACCTAAGCTTTGCATTCCCAATGAACCTTTATCTGCCGACGACCCATTACTCCACTAGCCATGGCACCCGCGTTCATGCGGATACCCAAGCTCCTCCTCTCGCACTTCACTCGCGGCTGCCAATACCCACCCCTTCTACGCGATATCGCCAATTAGGACAGTGATGGCGTGGATATGGGATAGCACTGTAGCCATGTATCGGTCGCTAGCACGCTTCTTGTCGTCTGGGCTCCTCGATGCAAAGGTAAGGGTGTTGATGACTTGTGACTTGTAGATCACTCTAAAATGATGGTCAAGGGTGAATACGATCCCGCGTATAGGGCCTTTGTATTCTACAGGACTATGTCGCCTAATGAGGTATGTCAATGTTGGCAGGTTGCTCGGGAGGGATACTCGCTGATCTGGATATGGAAACTTAGTCCGTGTCGAGTTTTGGGAGACCGTCGATGGAGAGTGAAGTGGAATGAAGTTGGGACTTCGTTGCAGAGGCCTTGGTCTTGTGTGAACATGCATGAAGGTGTCGGTGCGATGAGTCTAGTTGGCTGAGGGGAAAGAGTGGTATCTCTATTGATGTTCAAGTATCTATGTTCGCTTTAAAGCTGCTGAACCCGAAACTACACCCCCAATCCGTTTCCCCTTCCTGCGAGCGAGACGATCAAGAAGAGCCCTGTATGTCTTCCTGCTCGGCGAGACCGCTCTGCTGCATCTGTTGATGCATTTGTTGCTGCATTTGCTGTTGCATGAGTTGCTGCTGTGACATGTTCATCGCGGAAGGATTGAAGTTCAGATGACTCAAGGGCGCTGACTGCCACCACAGCTGTTGCATATCGACAAGAGGTACGCCTTGATCAAAGTTCGTCATGAAGGGGTTTCCGAAAGCGAAAGACGTTGGTTGTTGTTCTGGCAGAGGGTACGGAAGTAGCGGGTCCATGAAGTGATCTTGGGAAAGCGGGGGTGGGAAATTTGGCGGCATTTCCTCCCAGGAGGCTGACTGCGGTGCAGAGCGTGTAGGCTTTGCGGGCCGAGAAGTCCATCCAGTATCGTCGGCAATCAACTCCTTGACTTGCTCCCGAAGAGCAGGCGCACAAGTGTTCAAAATCTTGTAGACGACATCATGAGCCCGAGCAGCGACTGGGTCACTTACTTTCATAGCACGAAGCCAGCGTATCATCTTCTTGATGCACGTCAGGATGTCGTCTCTCTCATCCTTTAGATGTTTGCCCTCATAGGCCATCTCCAGCAGCAGCACGGCTACTGATTGCATGACTAGTGGAAAGAACGTCAGCTCTTGTTAGACTTTTCTCATATCATGATAAACTTACTGAGATGAACCACATCCCACCACGGTCCTTGCGAGTAAATGAACTGTGTATCTGGCTGTTCAGGGAACAGCATCGTCATGTTTCGAGCTGACTCGACGCATGTCTCTGCTGACTCGGCGTTGAAGTTCATGGATTTGGAACTCTCTGTTGCTATTCTTCGCTCTATTCGACAGAGGCAGGGCCGCGTGATGAGCACTTTCGTACTCCAGTAGTAGATTCTGAGTAGAAAACGTTCGCGGTTGAGCTCGGGTCGTTGGGTGGAGTTACTCGGACGGATGTCATCAGATGGTAACGCTGTCTTGACCCAGTCCTCTAGTTCCTTGAGCAGCTCCGTAATTTTCGTCTGTACGTACTATAGATATAGTAGTCAGCAGAATGTCCTATACACAAACAAGAATCATTTGTCGGCGACTACACGGTCGGATTGGAAGGATGGTACACATACCTCCCAAGATTGGACTGCGGTCCGGGGCGAATATAGGCTGAGAAGGACCTTCTGTGAAATGATGGTCAAGGTGACATATGTATGCAGATAGTGGCTTCCATCCGCATCCCGTTGACCTGAGTCAGAGGCAGCGCTACTTCCAACAGTCTGAGGTGAGCTGTAGTTCGTGCGGACGCGAGAGTGTCGTCGCGCCGCATTTGTGTCTCGCGTTGGAGATCCAGGTTCGTACTGTGGCAATGTTACAGTGCAATCCTCGTTTCCAATGACCGGAGGCCGACCAGTGATGGATGAAACGAGGCACTCTACTGAGTGCAAACACCACCACGTCTTCACCAACGGCTCTCTCCTAGAGTCGTTCATCGAATCGTCCTCGTTACGCAGGTGTAAACCGAGTGCCAAGGCGAGTCTGACGGAGAGCCCGCTCATGATCCAGGCTCTACTCACGTGTCCGATCACAAGGAAGTAGAACGCCAATGTTCCTGTCTAGTGTTCAAGATGTTAGGTACATTGATGAGGCTTGAATGGAGATGGACACTTACTGCTTGAACCCTGCCCAGACTGGGGGCTGCCAGGAACGATATAGTATCCTTCAGTCCCAAGAGTTGAACAGCTCGTGTCATGTATACGAGATGGTCTCTCTCATCGCCTCGCCATTCGGCACCAATGAGATGAGAGTATTTGGCGCCAATAGCGAAAAGTAGGTTCATGGTCGCACGCCATTGTGGCGGGATTTGATACGGATTTCTGTACCTGAGAGATTGAATGTAGCGTCGAAATTGGTCTTCGAAGTTAGCGGGCATGAGAGGAAATGTGCCTTGTACAGTTTCCAGATAGCAATCAAAGAGCTTTTCAGCGATGTCTGGGCCAGGCATCTCGTTTGGATCTACAGCGATATCGACCTCAATATCATCGCCGTCCAGGTAGAAAGTCGCGTCCGTTATGTGTTGCATCGAGCCCGGTCTAGCATTCTGTCTTCGTTCATGCAAAGCTTCGGATCGTTCGTCAATAGCTGCCGAACTTGCGCCTGGAGGGCCGTATCGCTGCCCTTGAGGGTCTGAGTTGCCACGTTCTGCTTGACGCTGAACACTTCGTAGCCATTGCACCTCCGAGTTTTGGCCCATGTAGCCGGTCTCTCTCGACTCGTGGCTGCGCATCAAATCCTCATCAAGGAAGTCGAGATCTTCGTTGGAGCCGACGGATGCAGTCACGAGGGCCTCTCCGTGATGGCCATCCCCTGGCTCTTTTCTCTGCGCCGATTGCTCGCGTGGCCTTTTTCCCAGAGTCCTGACGGATTGTAAGGAATCCAGGGAAACAAGATCATCCTCAACCTGGAGAAGTAAGGTCAGCAGTAGCCTTGTCACACTCTCAGGCAACGAGATAACTGACGGAATACATACATCATGTAATGTCTGCTTGATGGCCTTTTTGTCTGCTTCATCGACCCGGTCTTCTAGTTCTTTTAGGAGATTAACGAGGTTCTTGTTCAACCTCATGGCCCTGTAAAGTCAGCATGTAAGTCGAATGTTGGATGGTTAATCTAAACATACTCTCCAAGACGATCCCGACGTGCTGGATCGTACACACAAACTAAGTTGTTGCGTTCACAGTTGGCGCAACGCGGATGATCACCCGAACACCTGACTTCTGGAGCGGGATTATCAGCAGGAACGATTAAATACGGAGGGATGCGGCTGTTTACTTCGTCTGCGGCACGTTTTGCATGCCCTTGCACTAGAGAAACGAGTTAGTTCACAACGTGTACTAATGTAGGCTAGAGTCACTGACACTCTTTCCTCTTTCTCGTATCTTTCTGCATTCTCGTTGCCCTGCTGCGGCGGCGCTGGCGCCTTTTGGATCGCGATCTTCCTACCCTGTCCATCACTGGACTGCCCGAGCGGGACTCGTTGCATAGCACAGGCCGACGGTGATTGGAAATCAGTACAGGATCGCACTGCCAGTGCAGATGCAGCTCGCAGGGGAGCGACTTCAGTCACGTGTTGGGTTCCGGCCAAGGTCTCCGTGGGCCTGGTTGTTCTGGGAGCGATGAGGGGAAACGGATCTGCCAGGACGGCCTGAGGCGCGAAGGGTGGTAATCCACGGTAAAGGAACGGTTACGGGACTGTGTGGCTTGATGTCTCAAGACAAGACAATAGGCAGGCACGCATATGCGAATTGTAACGAATCGTTGTTTGGTGGTTGTGGTAGTGGTGGTGCTGGGGAGAAACGCACCCTTCAGAGGATTGATAGGCGGCTGTTCACCCACCAATCATAGTCCTCTACATTAGTTCACTGTCCGAAGCAGCGTTGTGCTGTGGCTTCAAGTTGAGTGGATATAGTCGGATGCGTTTAGCAGTGGCCCATTATACAGGCCTGCGGCAAATCATGAACAGGTTTCGCCTCGTCGGGATCGGGATCGAAGGCAGGGCGGCGACTCCCCGCGGAAGTTGCCTGCCAGATCGCATGGCATCCACAGCTGTCAATTCTCTGCAGCGCGGAAAGAAAATGAAGCAAGAAAAACTACAGCATGTGCAGGGCTAGCGAAGAATGGCGAACGCGTTTGGGTTGTCGTGCTATTTGAATATGCCTAGGTAGCCAACACGCCGTTGAGCCGTACGCGCGATGCAGGTCGCGTACGTCATTCCTAGCAAGGAACTGGCTCCTACCTCGCTTCTTTGCTGTTGAGAGTTCAGATAAACCACCTGTACACATTGAGGGATCAATGTAAATAACGGATACTTACATATCTTTTGTTGATGATGTGTCTCCAGCGACGACACCCTATATCTTTTGGGTGGCTCCTAGGCATTAGTTTTCGTAACACGAGCCGATTTATCTTCTGCGTGAATGCAAAGGGACAGAAGTGTACGGTTGTGTTTCCGCGAACATGCTAATCCCGCCAGCACATACCTAGGTAGCCGTAAAGAGCAGCACGTGTTTCACCCGAGGCAACTCCGTCTTCGCGAGCTTGGGACACCTATCTAATCCGCACACGCTGCAGCATTTTTCTCGCAACTTTACTCTGAAAACGAATGTCTGACATAATTTGATTGCGCGCGCTGACAAGGGACATCTACTTCAGCTTAAGGGTTCCGGGGAACTTGTAGATGCGGGTTGCGCTATCCCGAATCTGGAAGCTTCTGCTAGCTTGCTGTTTTCCGTTAGCATGTGATGGAACTTCCCGATATCGCTTCACCCCGTGGAAACTTCAGGCAGCACCGTCAGTACATGCATTATCTCCCTCTTTGCTCTTGAAACTTCTCCCAGCACTCTAAATGCCTGCAAGAACCAACTCGTGTGTAACCTGTCGCAAGAAACGCATCAAATGCGATGCGACAGTCCCCAAATGTCTTATGTGCATTCGCACCGGTCACGACTGCCCCGGACTACCAGATGGTCCCGTCTTCGTAGACATGACGAACATTGCTAAACACGGAATGAGAAAGCGCAAGTCAAAACTAACAAGCAAGAGCGCGGAATCGTCCACGCTGAGCTGCGCGCGTTCTGACCAAGTGTTGTCGTATCAGATTTCGCAAAGAGCAGTGGTGACCGAGGCATTTTATGCTCACTTTATGGCTCACTTCACGTCCGAGGGCGAAAGCAAAGACATTCGGAATCAACGTACTTGGCTGCATAGCTTGCCTGTTCTGACAACAGATGGCACAAATGAGGCACTGACAACGGCTGCACAGGCTACGGCATCTGCCTACTGCGCTGCCGAAAGCGGAAACATGGCACTTACACAGTACTCATGGAAGATGTACGGAGAAGCCCTACGGGCGCACAGTCGATTCGTCTCCCGTCTACATACCAAGCAAGAAGTCACGGTACATATGGTGTCTACGAGCGTTCTGTTCAGTTTATTTGAAGCTATGCAATCTACCAACGCCGCAGCCTATTGTTCTCACGTTTTCGGAGCTGTTCGGATGCTTGAATTGACTACACCAAAACAATGCTCACAAGGGGCGTTGTGTCAGATCTTCTGTAAGTTTCCTCATGCGATAAAGCCTAGCTGTATTTGCTGTGGTCGTCATTGTATTGTTCGTGGAAGAGAGGATGATGTACCCTTTCAGACTGTATCCCACACCCTGTCTGAAACTCAAGAGGGCAGTCTCTTTCGTACGGGAGAAACACGTAACGCGCGCTAACACTGTACTTCTTTTGCAGATCATCTCCGGACTCAATTGACATTCATCAATCTGACCGGAAATAGCAAGAGGATACCTTTCCGAATGCAAGGCATTTTGTACGGGCCATTGAGATACGTTGAGTTACCTCGGTTTCAGACGCTTATGGGCTATGTATCCGACCTGGTGGACGTCTATGTCGCGCGGAAGACCGGCGCATCGCGACCAGAATTTGGCCTCGATGCTTACACCGTGCTTGAGAGCAATATTGAGGTGCTTTGGCTTGAGTATATGAACGATGCAGTGGATACGGATAAGTTACTGCTCTGGGAGGACACTTCGACCGAAACTCGGCACTTTCGCGACGCCTTCACTGCTCTCGTCGTGGCATACTTCAGCGTTGCTCGCATCCTTCTCAGCCTCATTACGCCACGACTTCTAGATGGCTTTCCGACCCTATCCGATGATTACACATCTGTATTGCTGGCCTCGCAATACTTGCAGACTCATACAGTTGGGTGCGCATACATGCGCATGGCCACGCCTCTGCTGCTAGTTGCACTGCATTCCCCTGAACCTAGCCAGCGCAATCAAGCTACCGCTTACTTCGAAGGTTGGACGCAGAGGTCCATGTCGGGCGTTAGCACACTTGCACTAGAGACGATACGTCGAAACCACGTCTACGAGCGTGACCGGACGCGCGAACAGTGGCAAAATTCGGCGTTAATCAATACCTAGATGCAGCTATTCAGCCACAAGTACCAGTGATCACGATGCGAGAGATGTGTTGTCGTCGGACAAAAGCACCAAGCCGCTACCCGAACTGCCGGAATAAACCCGTCAGCGCTAAATACGGCTAGCTCGTGGATACCCCTCTCGCGATCCCCTTAGTAAACCCCGATTCTCGACACGAATTCCTCTTTTCGAAGCGCATAGGCCAAGCCCCTCAGCTGTGTACATGCAACGATGTACAGCGAAGACCCCGATCTCGAGACGAACTCTTCCAGCACGAAACCCACACTTTGCTCGAACTTGCCTATTTGCGACACCGATCAATGCCAGTATATGGCATGATTTGCAATATGCGAGGCAGGAGGCAGGGTCTAGAAGAGACGATACGGCTTTGATAATCAATAGATCGGGTACCGTCGCCGTGTGTAGAGACACAACATCGGAAGGAAGAGCGAGCACGTCGCTGTTTGGCTGTAATCTGTTCGAGCGTACGGCAGTTGGCTCACCTTCGCCTCGGATTATGGTCAGGAAGAGAACAAAACCGGAGGGAAATTGATTTGAGCAGACTTCCAGTCGGATTTGCTTTTCTTGACTCAAACTCCAGTGCCAAGGCTGCGCGCTGGTTGTCAGGCGAACTTCACAGGCTACGATAGAGGCTTGTAGACAGCAGCTTACATCCATAATGATGTTTTGTTTCCATTGTGCATCCAGTGGGCAGGTGCCGTACGCCCCATTTTGACAAGTCGATCACGTTGCTGCTACCAGAGAAGCTGCCCCAGCCCTCGTATCAATCGTTGAAATGAGTATATGAGAGCAAGTGGGTATCATCAAGGAGTCGTTCAAATCTACTATAGCTCTCTACCAATACCCAAAAGGTTGAGAATCAAGCTTTCTTCTTGCTGCTTTGTCCAAGGTCAAGATGTAGTAAAAGCGCCTTTTCAACCAGACTGGCAAACTCGCGGTACATTACACTGCACAAAACACAGATTGGAGTAGAGTTACGGACTTCAGGAAATAAAGACAGAAGAATCATAGCTGACTAGTCCTACGAACACGTTCCCAGTCCAGTCGCCATAATCGCACACATGAAAATCGTGAATTGACACAAAACAAGCGCACCCTCCTCTTGCGTAAAAGACTCATACAGTTCCATAGTACACTTCCTTCATCGACTTGCATAATGCTTGTGCTGATACCCATATTAAGCCTTCTGCATACCTTCGACAAACTCAAGCGCCGCTTCTCTATCAACAACATCGATGCTACTCGTCTTGTTCGTGTAGGTAACACCATAGCATCGATCCGCCACGTGTACCATCTCAGGCCTGAAAGTCGTGCAGATAAACTGACCACCTCCATCCGCGTTCTTTCCACCATGACCACTCAACCGCTCCAGCATCTGCGCAACAGCAGTTCGATACTGCGCGTCGAGATTGGCATCGATTTCGTCAAAGAGGTAGAACGGCGCGGGATCGCACTTTTGGATAGCAAAGATCAGGGCGAGCGCGCAGAGCGACTTCTGACCTCCAGAGAGCTGACCGATCTTTTGCTGCTCGTCGTGCTTGCTGTTGAAGGATACAGCGATGCTCACACCTGTGTACTCTTCGACCTTACTCTTCTTCCCTTGGGTCTCTTGTTCTTCCATATCGTCGTCATCGGAGATGTCCCCACGTGCGTCGCGGTCGGATTTGCGGTTGATGATGAGGCGACCGCGGCCGATGGGAACGAGTTGCTGGAAAACTTCGCCGAAAGCTGCGGCGACTTGCTTGAAGGTACGCGCGATAGCCTCATCTTTGCGCTGGTCTAGCACATCGATGAGATTCTCGATGGATTTGCGTGATGTGTCCAGTTCGGCGCGGCGTTCGGTGAGGGTACGTCGCTGACGCGTAAAGTTCTCGTAATGTTCGAATGCTTTCTTGTTGACGTGGGCGAAGCTCTTGAGGGCTTGGTTGGCCTTGGTGAGTTCTTTGGTAACCTTGTGATAATGTCAGCTGTGTGCAGGTTTGAAGAGGCGAACGTGGAGCTTACCTTTGTGGTGTCCCATCGAGTGTATT